TGGTCATGTTAACGCACGAGTTTACCATTTTTTACCGGTGGTAAGATTTTAATTTACAATAAATAAAAAAGTTAAGAAATGCCAAGTTTCTGATAAGATTAAAAATTATTAGAAAAGTTTTATTAAGTAACCCTCCGTTGGTTATTCTTTCCCCACGGTCTCACTTGTACGTAATTAACTTTGTATAGATGAAGTAGTATTTGTCGGTGATTTTCCGCTTAAGCGATTAACGAGGGGGTAAAATAAACAAAAGCCTCAGCTGGATAAGCATGGTAAATCTGCCCCCACTCAGTATTCTTTTAATATATTATAGATCATAAAATATAATAATAAAATATTTTTGACTTTCTTACGGAAAATCTTCAACTCCTTGCTATGAAAATAAATAGTTTACAAAAATTGATGGACAGTTATTGGTTTCACTACAACTTTCGAAAATGAAGTTCTCATAAGATTTTTCTTTTTAAGATCCTAGGAAACAATTATGACTATTTTTACGAGCATAAATGTGTGTGTGTGTGTGTGTGTGTGTGTGTGTGTATGTGTGTGTGTGTGTGTGTGTGTGTGTGTGTGTGTGTGTGTGTGTGTGTGTGTATGTGTGTGTGTGTTTGTGTGTAAGCCTCTTATAATTCGTGAACGGCTTGACCAATCGAAATACTGTTTATGGTATTCTTAAGGGCCCTACTAGACCCAGATTTAAAAAAATTTTGAACTAATTCATTCCGATAGATATTTGAGATATCTTAAATATAAGATTTTCAAAAAAAATGTTTTTTTGTTTAAATAACTTTTAAGTCTTTCGAAATTTGTATGTTTGAAAAAAGTGTTATTCGAGTTCGAAAATGGATAAAAGTGGTATGTGTGAGCTTAAAGAAAACTTTGTAATAGGAAGTTTTTTGAGCGTTAGCAAAGTAACATATCAGGACCTAAAAACTTGGAAATCTGGTAAGAACTGGATTTTCGAGAATGTGGGTGAGACCAATAACTTTCCAATTTCTGAAAATTATTGATTTTCATCTTAAAAATTTTCTGCTTTGCATTTAAGAGTTCTAATTTAGGGATTCATAAGTTAACTTTCGATTTAAGAGAATTAAATATTTTGTAGTAAGAGTAAAATTTTAAAGAAAAAAATTTTGTTAAATAAATTGATTTTTTTGAGCGTAAAATTTATAGCTTTTACTGTTCACGATTAGTGTAGTTTTTGATTTAAGAGAATTATCCTTCATATAAGTACAAATAAATGAACCCTACTTTTGTTATCATATCAGTATAGATTCATCATCAAATTATTATTATCGACTCACTGCTTGATATAAAACCTTTCAACCTCTTATAAAATTTTCATACTTCTTATGATGATGAACGTTCTTATTGGTAAATAGTGCATTACCAAATTATCTATTGTATTAGTGTTTATGTAAGCCAATTACATTTTATAGATACACGTCACAAATAATATGGCTGAGTTTAAAGGACTTCTATTCATTCAATAGTCTAACTAACGGTAAGCCGTTTTTCCGATTGTTTGATATACTTTACTTAAATTGCCGAAACGCATCAGTGCTTATTTCTGTAATATTTTTTCATAAAAATGTAAAAAAATTCCAATACATTTTACTTGTAATAAAATTTTTATTACTTCAATTTTTTCGTATTCAAAGTATTTTTGCTATTTATGGTTATTAAATTATAAATCTCAATTAGTTCACAAGATGTAAAGAAAAATTCTACTTTTTTCAAGTTGATCGACGGCATTTTTTTGAGTAGAAGAGCTGATTAGATCATAGAGCCGATCGAAACTTAAGTTTTGAAGTAATTCCAAAAAAATCATTTTTTTTTTAATTAAAAAAACTCGGATTTTCGACGTTTTTTTTAGAATCTACCGCGCCAATTTGGTCTTAATTCATAGAACATCTAAGTTCAGCGAAGCCCTTTCAGATGCCGCAAACCGCTTTTCATCGGATACTCTGTTACAAAGTTGTAAGGTGTTTGCATGTTTACATACAAACACACACACGCACACACACACGCGCGCGGAGAGTAGCACTGTTAAAACTCTATGTTCGATAAAGATAAAGATAAAGATCAAAACTCGATTTTCGAAAATCGGGGTGAAAACAATAACTTCCCGATTTTTTGAAGATCATTGATCATTGATCAGCAGGAAGTTCAAAATTATATGAGTAATTCTCGGAAGCTTTTATATTACTTTGATTAATACCTAATTTGAAAAGTGATAAAAAAACTAAAATTTTTGAAAGTAGGATTAGCATGGCCAATCCATAAAACATCTTCATTATTAGAGACAATCGTATTTTTGAATAAATTTCATTAATCCCCTAAGCAACGTCACAAACAAATAAATGAAAAGAAAGGCCATTCGGCAGCCGAAATGGAAGTAGATTTTTCAAATAAAGAAAATTGATTTTTAATAAAATAATATAATAACACTAATAATGTACAACTTAATTCATGAATTAAAAATAAAATTCAATAATAAATTTAAAACTATTTAGAACAAATTTTGGAAAAAAAATTAACTTTTGAAGAAAAAGTTTCTCAAATATTTTTCAAAAAATTGCAAAGATTATAAAATTTGAATTATAAATGATCAAATTTTAAGTAACTGCTTAGGAACAAAAATTTGCAAATCAATCAGATGTTTAAATTCGGATAAAATTTTAATTGAAGAAACCAAAATATAGAACTAATTTGTAACATATTTACTGACGAATTACCCGAAAACATTTAAAACATTACACGAAAGACTGATCATTATCGTAATTATTGAATTTACATCATGATTAAGCTATGATGCAGACAATAATTCTAAAACGGCTGCAACAGTAAAACTGTTTCATTAAAGGAACTCTAAAAGGAGTAATATTGAGGCTATTACCACTTTTGAGTAGTGGAAATTGAAGCTTATTAAAAGAGCTTTACGATGCATTTTACCTTATTTTGATATCTTGTCTCGATCAATAATTATACCAAGTTGAAGTAGTAAAAACATCCATTTTTACGATTTTCAAAATTTCAAAATCCTGTTATTTCCAAATTACTCGCCCATATATATATATATATATATATAAACTTTTGAACTATATACATTTTCTGACTCAGCTCGACAAACTGAGTCAGAAAACGACTAAATTTTTTCAAAGTTGCGCCATGAGAACGGCTCTAATAGTTAGATTTTTATAAAATCTACTAAAAATATGTATGTAATGTCTCATTTGAAATCGACAAATGATTTTTGATCTCTAAGTACAGTTTCTAATAATCTTTTGAAAAATAAGATAATTTCACAACATTGATTAAAATATTATTTGTAAATTGAATTTGCTGAGATATAAGTAGATATGGTTAGATATTAACCCCCTGACATGCGAACATGCAAACCGTATTCCTCTAACAGCAATGAGGGTAAAAAGAACTAGTACAATTTTATTTCAAGTATCCAATAAAGACAAAGAAATATTTTGGTTTTTAAATTGATGCTCGAATAATCCTGAAATAATTGAATATGAAAGTAACATTCAACATGAACAAAGTCTGTAAAAGTAATAGCATGTTAAATAAATAATCCCATAGTACATTTAGCTCTTAAATTGAAAATTGTTCAGTTTCACTGTCATAAAAAGTCTACAACTTGAATAATCGAAAATCTGCTGCAATGAAAAACAAAAAAAAACTTGAATAAGTTGATTTTTCAATTATTTAGGGCTAAAACACTAGGTGACCGTGAAACTTAACAATCGTCCTTTAATTGACTGAGATTCAAATTATTAATCATGAAATATAAAATTTAAATCTACCTTGGTGATTGCCGTATGCAGCCGATGTTTAGGTTAGAATTCCAGTAGCATTTAGTAGTAGTCTTTTAACAATGATAGATACATTATAGGACTCTTATTATTTAAGTAATCCATTCGCTATGAACTAAAAAATATCCACTACTATTTGTTCATTTATATATGCACTCAAAACTGTTTGTATGTACAAGTATATTCTCAAGATACACACACGCATACATACGTGATGTATTTATATGTATGTTTAGCTGTACCTGTGTATAAATGTCCAAAAACGATATTGTCAAAGAATTAAGATGCAAAAATAATTTTTGCAAAGAATTCACGGTAATTATCGGTACCAACCACCCACGAAACTGAACAAATTATTATATATTAACATATGTATGTATTCACACATTATTTACAATTCCTTTATTGCAATGTCAGTTTGATAACTTTACTTTCAACCTCTACATTCAGTGCTATCTTTTAAGGAACTGATATTCTACCAACTTGAATGTCCTTAAAACTCTAGTTAGACTTGTCGGGTAAATATTCCGTAAGCTAATATATATATTTTGTGCTCCCTGATAGCCAGCGCTTTCTCAGAAAGTATAGTGGACTTCCAGCAGTTACGGTTAACTTAACATCACGTTGTCGGTAATTCTTCACTAAACATCAGTTGTAAGCAAATTGACGAAAATTTACGGCCGCAACTTGAATACAAGTTAACAATCAAACTTGCATGTTGTTAAATTTCTTTTCAACTTTACGACAATTTGACTGAAATACTTGTACAGCAAGTTTTGACGTCTACTTGCTGAGTAACTTATAGGTAACTAATAATAGGTAACCGCTTTGTTTTGCCAACTCTTTCCGTCAAGTTTGCTTCAAATTGTGGTCGTAGTTTGACAGTAAGTTATAGGTATCTGAGCTCTGATGACTTTGATGAGCTGGTGTGGTCGTCCGCTGTTGTTAATATAGAAAGCGTGTGGTGATAATAGAACGATTGTTGGTAAAGAAGGTGTCTTTTTTGTGTGAAGAAGTGTTCATACATGGGGGCATTCCATGCCAAATCGAACAGTTTAAAAAAATTTATATCCCCTGATAGTTTTAGATAAGTGTCATATTTAATTTAAAGGTAATATCCAATGAAATTGTAAAACGGTGACAATAGTAAAATAAAAAATAAAAAAAAAGAAAATGTCAACGATGAAAGGTGTAGGAAGAAATATACCTTATCTCCAACAGCAATTTGCTGCACTTCTTGGTAACACAAGTACTAGTGTCAAGTTTATATGTATTGTGATGATATTATCGTATTGTCTCTCTTTTATGGAGCAGGCAATCATCACTTTAAGTGTAACACCAGGTTACTTATTGCCTCCATCATTTTGGATATGGACGGCGTTTACTTTTTGTTTTCTGGAAATACATTTCTGGGAAGTGTGTGTAGACATTATAACAGTTGGACTTTGTGGCAAACTCATTGAACCCCTATGGGGTGCGATGGAAATGATGACCTTTTTTGCAGTTGTCAATGTTGGTGTTGGAATATTATCAGCATTATATTATTTATTTCTCTATATGTGTACTAGTGATACGGACTTTTTATTTGATATCCATATTCATGGATTAACAGGTTATATAGCGGGTAGATTTTAATTTCACTAATTTTAGAACTACTATTGTTTAAACAATATTTTAATAAATATCAATATTTTTTATGTATTTTAGGTGTTAGCGTTGCTGTTAAACAAATAATGCCAGATCATATTTTGTTGAAGAGTCCAATTGGTAAAATAATGAATAGAAACATTCCCCTAATGGTGTGGCTAGTTAGTTTGATATTGTGGATCGTAGGATTATTAGAAGGTACACATCCGACAATGTTTTTAAATGGTCTCATTATATCTTGGATGTATTTGAGATTTTATCAAAGACATACTAATGGAACTAAGGGAGATATGGCTGATAATTTTACTTTTGCAAGGTAATTTTTTTTTTTAATATTTGTATTAAATTGAAGATATAATTTCTAATCCTCTTTAATTAAAATTAATTACAGTTTTTTCCCCAATGTTTTACAACCACCGATTGCCGTAGTCAGTAATACTGTACATAACTTTTTTGTTCGTATTGGAATTTGTAAAAAAATTGTTAGACGATTTGATATGTCCAATGCACCACCAGGTTTGGTTATGAATCTGCCGGGAATCGATCCTCAGGATAGTGAAAGGCGACGGTTTGTATATCTTTATGTATTACAGAAGTAAAATGAGATTATGTTAAAACATAATAACAATATTTTACAGGCAAATCGCACTAAAGGCATTAAGTGAGCGTTTAAGCAAAGATCATGCAAGACCGTGGCAGCAAGATAGAAATAAAAAAAATATTCCTCCTCTAGCTACTGTTTCAATATCTATTCCAGAGTCTACTACACCAAAACCTCTGGTATCTCCTCTTATTCCACCATTAAATACTAATATTCACAATCAAAGACTATCAAATACGTGATTAATAGTTATAATCTAGATTTAAAATGAAAATTGATAAATTATCTTATTTTCATACAGAAAATAATTAAATTTTGTTACATTGTTAATTTCGAATCATAAAAGTGAAAAAAAAAGCAAGAAATGTTTAGTAATAAATTATTTGAAGTTTAAGGAGCTTAACATCAAGACTGTTTCATATTAAAATCTAAGTTTATATCTCTTTTTAGCGTCTTGATCGGATTTATATCGTTCAGTTAAAATTGAAAGAAAAACATTTTCAAAAAAATGTTGTGTTTCAAAAATAAATAAACCACCCATACTGTTGTAACACATCCACCATTTACACCAAGTGTTATACCTTTCGGCAGCTACTTAATATACATTTATACTATACCGTATAAACTCATCCAGATACTAAAAAACTGATTTACTATAACGTCACATATTCAAAAAATATATTTTATTTCATATACCAAAAGGTCTAACGTGTAGTTCCCAATCTATACTTGCTGTTGAAAAATCATCAATATAGACATCTTATGAACGTGTACAAAGAAGTTTTTTTGAGTTTTGAGAAGATGTTTTACGATTATATGTGCATTTATATTTAAGCTCTAATATTAAGTCGTTTTGGAGTAATTATTTTTCTTTAGCTTTGACAATTTAAAGTATATTCAATTCTTTCATTTATTTTTAAAGAGACAAAACAATTTTTTATGTACGGAATTTTTAGCTTTCTTATGGAGATATTGATTGTTGACAATAAATAGTCAAAAATTTTCAATAACGCGACCAAAGTTGTAATTTTTTGTTCGACTATAAATATATAAAATGTATTGAGACTATACTGTTTTTTAATATTGAAATTCGGTGCTTTTGATAAAATAATGCTTCTAATACAAAATTGTTTTTTATTTTTTTAATTTAAACATAGTTGACTAAAAAACAAATGTTTGATTTTGTAAAGTCTAAACCTTAAAACTTACTGATTATTTCGTAATTTTAAATTAATATTTTTCTTGCTTATAATTATATAAAATTTATTCGAAATATTGAGGGAGTTCAAGTATAAATTTTATAAAAAAACCAATGCAATCCAAATATTGATTCTGTGGATTAAAATACTTCGAAATTACCATTATTTTATCAAAATTATCTATTATAAATATCTGTAAATAATGCACTATCGACCCTTTTTGTTTATTCAAATTTAAAAAATATACTCATCCATCACAAAAATGATATATTTCTTGAAAAAAAGTTTCAGGATTTGGAAAAAAGTTTTAAACGTTTTCCAATTAAGAGACAAAATTAGAAATTTCTTAACGTCAAAATGACTTAATATTTATTAAAAGCTATCATTTTTAGTTAACTTTTTTTTCTCTATACAGAATTACAAAATGTTAAAAAAATATTCAGGATTTATACTTTAAAAATCTATTTGGGAGGACTGTCCCATATATGTATACAAATTGAACATAAACGAGGATAAGATGGTCAATTAAATCTTTCATTTTTTTGTCTCATTTTGTACGTGTGTTTATTTTAGATGTAAAAGAACTAGATTATTCAAATTTTATATATGTATACTTATGTATATAAATAAAAATTGTTATCCAAAATCCATTTTATATAAATGAATGCCTATACAAAACAAGAAAACATACATTAATTTGTTTCAAAAAATTGACAGGACCTTTACGAGACTAAAAAAAAAATTTCCAATGAACTTTATAATTACCTTGAGGATAGACATTGGCTGAAGTTGCGCCAAAGAAAAATATATTTTTTGAGGGGTATAGTATATATTTTGTGCCAGCTAATAAGTAGTAATTATTTACTTTTAAATACGTTAATTTTATGCGAGGTTTTAGTTATTTTCGTTTTGAATGTTTTTTTTTTTTTTTTTTTTATTACAATTATTTTCGACATAAATATATATTTTTAACTTTACCATTTTTTTTTATTCCTACATTGAATTTACGGTTAAAAAATATTGAAAAAAAATAAAAAATCTATACGGCCCATTTAAAAAATGTCTATTTGAAGATGAGTAAACTATATATCAATAACTTCAATCTTTGTTTTTCAAACAAACCTACTGGTATGTTTTTTGGTCGTATACTTTAAACATCTGCATATGTTAGAGCTGGGTAAAGGACAAACTTACAGCTAGTAAAAGCGATTTAATTACTTCTTTAATAAAAGATATTTATTTATACTTATTATTGTAAATGAATATCAATTTTCCTAACTACTGCTGCGAGAAAAAAAGACTTTCATTAAAATTTAAACTTCATTTTACAAGTATTTCAAATAAGTATTAACAAGAAATTTTGACGCACTTTAAAAAAAAAAAATAATTTTCAATTCAAATAAACAATGCATTTATCTATAAAATTGACGATGTTGTGACCATTGAGACTGCGGTGGAGGAATTTGCTGTTGAGGAGCATACTGAGCATCTTGTATGTAACCGTTAGGAGATGGACGGACAGATGCGGGACCCGAAACTATGTACTGTTGTTGTGGTTGTGCAATAGCGTAAGATACTTGCCCAGAATGTTGTGCAGGGTAATAATTTTGCGCCTGTGAAACTGGTGGAGGTACATTATATACCCCATAATTTACTTGTGATGACTGCGGTGGATAATAATGATTTTGTTGAGAATGTAATTCATGTGCCATAATTGTAGTATCTTGAATAGGGACGGTTATGAGATTTGTTCTCATAGGGGGATTACTTGACAAAGGTGTCGAATTTTGAGGATAGCTTTGCATTGGCATAATCTGTTGTGATCTATGCTGCTGCCGATGCTCAAGTGATGATTGATTTATTACGGAATTTACACGCGGATCATTTCCTATTGCAGGCTGTACCATATGAGATGATACTTGCTTAATTCGAACTGTTGGAACTGATGTAGATAACATCTTTCCCGGCTGTGTGTCAATATCAGATTTTGGATGAAGATACTGTGATGAATCAACTTGGATTCCTTGAACAGGCTGTGTTGGGCCTGATACATGTCGATGATTTATATGAGCCTGAAAATTTTAATAAGTATTTACAGTAGAATAGTAATAATGGAATATCATTATATTGCAAAAATAACATATATGTAACTTACTTGTAAATCACGCTGACTAAGATAAGTTCTTCGACAACCACCATTACCATACCTGGTACCTCCATGAGTACACATAAATACTGTGCCAAGCCCGGTTTGCTCAACTCGTGAAACTTTTTCCGTACATCGAGGACATACTTTATCTTCTCTTTTACCACAAAATAAACAAAATACGTGTTTACATGGTATCTATTGTCAAATCAACATATGGATATTTAAAAATTTCATCATAAAAGAAAAAGGACAATTATGGAGATAATTACCATTCGCCCGTAAATAAGAATTGGTTTAAGGCATTTGTCACAACAGTGGATCATCGGATTGAGAACTTTTTCACCAATCAGGTTGACACGATGATCCCATCGCAAACGCAGCATAGGTTCTGGAGGCCCACGATTAATTGTCGTGAAAGTGGGAGCTTCTAATTGTGATATATCTGCCTCTAAATCAAACTGATGCTCTAAAGAGGATGGTTGTGTTTGCAGCTGATCTTGATTAGTGTCAAAATCAGTCTTATCGGTGTATACTTCTTCGGATTCTTTTTGAGTTTGCTCTGTTATTTGGGGAGTGTCTTCTTCATCACTTTCTATTACCTACAATAAATATAAAAATAAAATAATGCTAAAACTAATTGTTCGAAATAAAGTCCAATTACGAACAATAATAAAAATGAATAATTTACCTTAACAGCTTTTTTAGCACGACCTCGGATCCGTCCTCGTGCTCGTCCACGAGCTCTTCCACGCGTTCTGCCTCTCATTCTTTTACTATTATCTTCATCCATTAATCACTAACAAATTATTATTGCTCTTAAATTTAGTGAACTATCAATTTTCATTGATAATTCCAAAATTGATCAAGTTTTCAGGTTATATTGAAAAACATAAAAATAAAAATACTGTGTGACTAACAATTTTCTTTAGTATACTTTAGAATAACAAATCTTTCAATTTAAATATGTATATATACATGAAGAGAATATGAAATAGTATTATTGTAAAACCAAGTTTAAAAATATTACAAATTTTAGTGACAATTATTCTATTCAATTATCTGCAATTTGTTTTTATTATTTATTTCACACCTATCTGGGAGCACCAATATTTTGATATGGCTATACCCGTCGAGGGTGATTTAGAATTTAAAGTCACTAACTCATGTCTTATCATCCCACTGAGACTGTGAAATATTTTTATTCAATCTATTTTTCACAATTCATTAACAATAAACTTTAGTACATAATACCCTACCGAATAATTAAAAACCCTTTTTTTTTCTCTCTCTCTCTCTCTTTCTTTCTTTCTTTTTTTCTGAGACAATTTACTTTAACAGGAATAGAAATTATTATATACACATAAGACCAAGCACTTATGGGTGCATTTTGAAATGAACAAGTGTTGCTTAGTACAGTATGTACTGTAGCGCTGCAGTACTGTGGTAGAGATGTGTAGGTTATATGGTTATACACGTTAGTGGAGAGCAGTGATTTTAGCGCGAGATTTTAAATATAAACTGGTAATTATTGATTTATTTTCTAGATTTAAAATTAATTCTATTAATTTCCCTACATATCACAACAATTAATTTATTAGAAAATAATGATATATTCTACAATTTTGCATTAGTCATGAGTAAATGATTGCAACGCTTTTAAATTTTCTGTTTTTATGAGATACTTTGGAATTAAAAAGTACTGTCTATATTTTGAAATATATTATTTGCAAAATTATGCTACTATCAAAATATTCATAATTATGAAAATTTTTACTTTTTTTCAATCGATATACTTTCAATTAGAAAAAATGTTTTCTATCAAAAGCTGATAGCTTCAATTTGTAGAGAATACTTTGCAGTTCTAAAAATCCTCATTTTATTTTCGGTACGATCAACTAGCTGTTACCCACCCGCTCCGCTGGGTGCTTTATAGAATCATATTTTTAGATCTAGACTTGATATTTTATTAAAGTATTGTTTTAACTTCCAGAGATTCCAAATTCCATCGAATTAGCCTGTATCTTTTATCCATGTAATTATTATAGCTAATATTCAATGTAACTTTCAATGAGCAATCATTATAAGATTCCAGTGACTTTCTTACAAAGTCAAAGTAGTTGCAGGTCTCATAAGTGAAGTTAAAATCTGCCTAGCTTAAAGTGCGACGAATTTTACTGTAAATTAAAATTTTCTGCGTGGCATCAATTTTTTATATATAAAATTTTGTATAGAAAATTAATTGTACATGATCTTTGCGAATTCTATTAAAATAAGTAGCTAAATTTCTGTTTCACATATCAAGTGTTTGAAAAATGCATTCATTTTAATTTGTCACTTTTCCGCTATCCCGTAATAAGAACAATTAATTGGTTATGTGATCAGCAAAAATAACATGAATGTAAAATTCTTAGTCCGTTGACTGAATAATGACATGTAATGTTAAGTTTTGTAAACCTTACAATAACTTTTTCCCCACTGCCAAAGAAACGATTGTTGTAAGGAAATTTTTATTAAATGTTATTGAAGTTTAATCAATATTCGAAATAATCGAAATTCGTTTTTAGTTGAAATCTAATCATAGAGAAAGAAAGATATTTAAATCGGTTGACCTTGGAGGCCATCCCTGTAATTTCCTGATTCTCTTGAGATTCTATCAAATTTTATATCTGAATCATTTATTTGAGAAACCCCTTAAGTCATATGAAAACCCCATATGACTTATGGGGTTTCTCAAGTAAACAATTCATCTGTAGAAACTGGATTTGAAGAATATGCATTTTTTGACAATTAATACCCCCGTACTCATATGTGGAGGAGGAATTTCGTAAGATCGTTTTCGAGATGATTTCTACATTATAAATAAAAGATTCCAACTAAACTTCGAGTCCATAGAAACTGATGTTTGGAAATGATAGGTTTTCATTGCTAACGCGCCCGCAATCCCTTTTGGGGCTAGAATTTGATAAAATCCATTGTTAGCTGAACTTAACATCATACACGAAGATTTCTACCAAATTTGGAGTCTGTAGAAGTTACAGTTTGGAAACAGAAATTTAACATTTTAACACCCACCCCCGCAATCCTTATTGAGGGTGGGTTGTTGTAAAATCCGCTCTTAGATCATTTCTGCAACACACATCGACGGTCTAATTAGCAATTGTCTCTCCTCATTTTTTAGAGGGTGATTTTTTAACTTTTTGATGTAGCAATAATCCAATTATAAATTATTTGAATGATTCAAACCTAAATATTATATCTCTATTAGATAATAATAATATTAAATGCTTCTTTAAAGTGATAATAAATTTTGAACTAATTGTTTTTTTCGTACAAATAGAAGATTCTCTAAAATGGAGTTAGACAATTTGCTAATTAGAACGTCGATATGGAAGACTCAACTAAATTTGCCTTCTGTAGGATCTATCTATAATTTGAAAATTGCAAATTTTCATTGTTAATATCCACCCCTGCAACTCCCTGTAGAGTGAGCTATCGTAAAATTCGTTCATAGATTATTTCTATATTTCTTACAGGAGATTTCTACCAAATTTGGGGTCTATAGGAGCTATAGTTTGAAAACGGGAATTATTCATTGTTGACACTCCCACAATTCCCTATGGGGGAGGATTTTTTTGAAATTTTTTTACATACAAACATTTTCTTGACAATGTCGAAGACAACAAAAAAAAATTAGCCCAATCGGTTCAGCCGTTCTCAAGTGATACTTTTTTATTTTGATATTTTTTTCCGTTTCTATTGCACTAAATTAATTTTTAGCAAGTATGGAATTAATCTTCATTAAATTATCTCGACAATAGTATGCAAAATATCTTGATTCCGTGAACTAACAAGGCTATAATACTAATAATAGTTGCCAAAATGGGGCGAAAATGTGTGTGTGTGTTTTTTTTTTTTTTTTTTTTTTTCCGTTAGGGGGGGTAATCCTTTTTACGGTATTCTAGGCATAGATGTTGGCCTGGATATGTGGCGACTCGACGCAGCGTCACACTAAAACTCGACGCTGACGCCCCTACCCACTAAACCATAAACCCCTTTCTCTTCTATCCTCTGATCCCCCATGGTACCGCCGTAAGGCATTTCTTCGCGGGGGGAGGAATTAGCTGCCGCTCTTCCTTCTGGGGGCTAAGATGTTATCTTCCTTCTAGATTCTGTCTTTTGCTCTTTTTCTCTCGATGGAACGCAGCTCTCTAAGCACTTCTGTGGCAAAAGTGTTCGTTGCATTCCAGACAGCTTCTGACGACAACATTGCCTCTACTATTGACGCTGGTTGGGTTCTCTTCTTCAGAATCTTCTCTAACTCATTCCGCTGTTGGTTGAAACGTGGACACACAAAGAAGACATGCTCCGCATCTTCAGTGCCCCCTGGACAGGACGGGCACTCTGGGGTATAGTCATGCTTAAAGCGGTGGAGATACTTCCGGTAACATCCGTGTCCTGATAACATCTGCGTTAAGTAATAGTTGGTCTCACCGTGACTCCGGTTGAACCACTCAGCAATCCGAGGTATGAGACGGTACGTCCACCGACCCTTATATGAAGCGTTCCACTCTTGTTGCCATTTTGCGATGCTGTGTTGCCGTTCTTCACTTCTAAGTTCTTCAGGGCTCAGTGCGGTTGATCTTTTTCGCTGATATAGGTTCCGTCTTTCCTAGGACTCTGAGAGGCAGAGTACCAGAAATAACACACACTGCATCCTCTGATATCGTGCGAAAGGCGCTAGCTACTCGTAGGGCAATCATTCGATATAATGGTCCTTTCTCCATAATTCTTGCGTCTTTAATGCGTCGGCCCAAATGGATATTCCGTAAGTGAGCACCAATGTGACTACTGATGACAGTAATAGCCTCCTGCTCTGCTTTGGGCCTCCGACGTTAGGCATCAATCGTGC